GGGGGGGGGGGAACGCGGGCGGCCCTCCAGCCCCAGGTGGCCTCTGGTTGCTAGTCATGGGGCCGGGCGCGTGTTGCCCTCGCCCCGTCCCCTCCCCGGGGCCTCCGGGGAAAGGGACAACTGCGCGGGCGCGCCCCGGTCCCGGGACCGCCCTATTGCCCGCCACCGAGCGCGCCCCCCCGCCAAGGGTGGAGGACGCGGCAAGTGACCGAGCCGCCGGGGGAAGGTAAAACTGAGGGCCACCACCATCACCACCACCACCACCACTACCGCCGGATCGGAGCCCAATGCTCGGGGAATAATACCCGCCGCCGAGCCCCCTCTCCCCGCCCCGGGTGCCTATGGCGGCCCAACGGCCAAGCGTTCCCCACCACAGGGAAGATCAACACAGATCGCCCGCGTGAAACCAACGCCTTCCCAGCCCCCTCCCCGGGCCAGCCCTCCTGGCCGAGGGCCGATGCTGTTGTTATGATTCGGGCGCCCTTTTCCCGGGGGCGAGAGACTACCCCGCACGCGGGTCAGCCAGCATGGCCCCTGGGGGGGGGGGGGGGGACCCCCCCCCCGAACGCCGAGTCCCCCGCATGGGGAAACGGACTGGAACATTAGTCCTGGGCCGGCTGAAGCCACCGGCATCGGCCACAGAGGGGGGACACACCCAGAAGGGTGCGCCGGGCGAGATAACCAGCGCGCGGACCAGACGAGGGCGAAGGGCTGGTTAAGCGGCGGCGCTTGTGTGGGCGCGCGCATGGCCGACACTCGCCGCGCGCGCGCATCCTCACGTAAGCGCGCACATGTGTCTCCCGCGCGGCCAGAGCCCTTTCCGGCTACGGGGGGTGGCGAAGGACTCCGCACGCGCGCCGCCCCAAACAAAAAGCCCGCCTCGGGGGACTCTCGCCCGCGCACCAGCGCGAACCCTCTCGGCCCGGAGCCTGGGGGGACAACATCCACCCGCTCGAAAGCGCCCGAGGGAGGGGGGGGGGGGACAGGGTTCTGCCACAGACCCGAGACCCTCTCGAACTTGGCGGTGGCCGCTGCTACTGCTGATGCTCCGGCAGTTTGGTGGGGCAAGCCGCATTCCCCTCCGCTGGCCCCCCCCAACCTGGCCGCCTGCAGGCCCCCCCTCTCCGGAGGGGCCGCCGCCATTCTAAAAAGGCTTGGCAGGAGCGCCGGCGGCCGAACGCCGCGCCCAGGACACATAACCCCGGGCTCCCTCCCCCCCCCCCCCCTCTGCCGGTCACGGCCAGCCCCGAGGGAAACAGCGTCATATCCAGCCGCGCCCCCGTGAGCGACGCAGGTCTTTTCTCTCCCCCCCCCCGCGCACTCGTGCTTGTGGCGCCCTCCGCTTCGCAGCACGGACGGGCCCGGCCCCGGCCCCGGCCCCGGCCCCGGTCCCAGGACAGGTTGCGATCCCCCCCCCCCCCCCCCCCCCCCCCTCTGATAGGGCAGCACGACCCGCAGCCATCTGGGGGAGGGGTAGAGGCAGGTTGTGGAGACGGGAGAGAAAATTGCACGCCCGGGCTGCTCCGCGCGGCGCGCCCGCCCGCGCCACCAGCCACTCAGGCTGACGCTCTCGCTCCGGGTGCACCCGCCCGCAACCCGCCGCCCCGAAGGACTTCACCCGCACAGCCCTCGCCCCGAGGGAGGCAGACTGGCAACGCCACGCCGGTCTGGTCGGGCGAGAGGAGGTAATGAACACCGACGGCGAGGCAAATCACCCGAAGTGCATCTCATATCACGAGGAATGCCGGCCCTCGGCCCGCATATCGAATGACATTCTCGGCGTCGAGAAATACTGCCAGCAACCTCGGGCAGGGGTGGCCTGCGGCCCCCCTGCTACGGCGGGGGAGGTGAAGGCATCCTTGTAACACGAACATACATTTCATCCTCGGGGAGGGGGGGGGGGGGGGGGCGAAACGTTTGGGCGGTGCGTGGACTCAGGGCCGGTGGTGGTGCGGATTTGGCGGCGACGCCGCGCCCTGCCCCGAAAGACACACACATGCACGCTTTTACACAAGCTTGGTCCACAATATTCCTACACCTTGATCTCGCTCTCTCTCTCTCCCGCCCTCTTTCTCTTCAGACCCTTCTCTCCCCTGTAGGCCTCCCCCTTGGCGGTTCGGTGGCGCCCTCGTTCACCAGCTTGCCGGGGACCGGCCTGCCTGGCCATGCCAGTCCGGCCGGACCAGAACAGGACGAAGCTCGCTAGCGGCATCAGAGCCAGTGGCTGGTGCGCCTCCCGTCCGCCCCCCGTCCCCCTGCACGTTCCACGGGGGAGCGCCGGCTGGAGCTGTGTCGCAGGCGAGAAGAGGATGGAGCCACACGGAGACAGATCCAACCGAGGGCGCTTGACCAGCCAGGAGGCCAAGCTCTCCGGCCGTGCGGCCACCTCCGGCAAGAAGACCAACATGTCCCTTCAGGAGCCCCCCCCCACCGGCTGCCGATCCGTTTCCAGAAGGAGGAGGGCATGAAGAGAAAGAGAGAGAGAGAAAGAGAGAGAGAGAGAGAGAGAGGGAGGAAGGGCTAAGGGGCGCCCCCGTTGGCCAACAGCCCAAAGGGAGCCCCAGGCCGGGATGACTGCAACTTGCCGCGCGTCTTCATGGCCATGAGACCCGCCCTGGAGCGGATATATATGTGTGGCAATAAAAAACCACTCCGGTAGTCTCGGACCCTCGGCTGCCTCCAACACAAACAGACAATATATTTGGCCCATGCCAGTCGTCCCCCCCCCCCCCCCCCCATGCCCCTCTCGCCCTCGGGTATCCAGCACACTCATCCACCCGCGAACACCGAGTGGGGACATTCAACAAAGCCCGGCCCATGCCGACGAAAAGGTGCCCGGGCCCATCCCCCCCCCCTTCCCCCTCCCGCCGGGAATGAAAAGGGGTCGCCTCTCATTTCAGCGAACATGCCCTGGCGCGCGTGACCCATCCCAGCTGGTGGTGACTCTCCCCTCCGGGGGGAAAGAACGCTTTGAGCTGAGCATCATCCATACTGGCCGGGCCAGACTTCGAGCGAGACGGCTTGACACCGGCATCGAGTGGCCCCCCCCCCCCCGCCACCCGATGGGCAGACAGGCGGAGCCGCTTGAACACCCGGATAGGTTGTTGACGCCCAGGGCCCCGGAGGCTCGCGCCGCTGGCGCTTCCGGACTAACGTCCACCGGTTCATGGCAGCCCCCCCGCCTCCACGCCCGCCCTGCATGCCGGGCGGTCGTGCCAGGAGGGCGCACCCGATGTTTGCTGCAGGCCGGTCCCCGCCAATCGCCCGGCACGGCGGTCCGAACTTCCAACACCCACCTCGTCCCACAGGGGGACGCCTGGCAGGGGGCGGCGGGGCATGGGCCTGGAGCGGCAAGCTCCCCGGCACCGACACATCCCTACGAGTCATCAGTGTTGAGGAGCGGCGCCCTTGGACCGCCTGGCCCCCTTCCCCACATTTCCATGCTCCCAGCCCGCCAGCAAGAACAAGCGGAAAATGCCCCCCCTCTCCTGCCATACACGTGGGGTACTGTCCGGTGGCGGGTGCTCGATGGGAGCTACAAGTGCCGCCGATTGTCATATGCCACCGTATAATCAAACCAACGTGTTTCCTTTCTTCAGACTGTCACATGCCCAAGCCCCGCATGAAGTATCACATATGGCCCCCGCCAAGGGGAATCCCCGAGTTGGGGCCAGGGGCCCTCATGCATTGGCAATCATCCTCATGAAATGCCCACAATTGTCGAGCCGTGTGCGGGCTGCGGCCCCGGCGGCTGTTCCACCCCCCCCCTGACCAGCCTTTTCTCCCCCCCCCCCCCCCCCCTGCCCGAGGTGGCAATGCTGTGCACACGATGGGAGCCGGCTAATCTTCGCCGGAGGGCCATTATCCCGGGGGAGTGTCCGCGAAGCCGGCCTCCTCGCCGTCTTTCGTGCGGTGCAGGCGCCCACTCGCAGGGACTGGCCCCCACCCTGGCAGGGGATCGAGGCGCCTCCAGCAAGGGCATCAAGCATGCCCCCCCCCACCAACCCCTGGTGGATCGCCACACAGTCCTGCCTTCTCTTTCCTAAATCCCCGCTCGGCTCTGCCGCCAATGGTTCCGCACAGACTGCCCCCTGCCCGGGCTTCTGGACCATCGATGCTGGGGATGCTTCACGGCCCGCGCAGTCCTCGTGCTGTTGCCCATCGGCCCCGACCGGCTTGACGGTCAACCGGGGACTCCCACCCGAAGCAGGCCTACCCGTATCCGGTGAACCCCCTCGGCCGATGTCTGTTCACACTGAGCGAACACCACCAATGGCCCCGCCTCCCCCCCCCCTGCCTCGGACAGAGGGCAACGCGTCTCGAGCCCCCGCCAGAGACCTAGGCCCGCCGGCCGCCCCGACTCGAGAGTACCCCCTGGGCGTGAACGTGCCTAATCGGGGCTTCTCCCGGGGCTGGAATGCCGCTCGCTTGCCCGCCCAGCCGCCATATCCATGTCTCCACAATATATACTTGCGGCTGGTATGTAAGCCAATGAAGCTGCATCCACGAGGGTGCTAATCACACACAGGCGCGCATACATTGTCACACATGCCGCCACACGGGCGGCGGCCCCTGCCGCGCAGTGCGATGGTGTCCGGGAAAGCTACAAGCTCGACCTCCCCCTCCCCAGCATAGCTGGGCCCCCCTTTCCCGAGGGACGTCTTCCCACCGGCGGTTTGCCCTGGTGACCACAGTGCGAACATCGGCCCCGATCCCCGCGCGCGCCAGAGCAAGCTCCCACCTGGTTTAGGGGGCCGGTATGTAAAGAGGGTGCCCAGAAAATCAAGCAGGCTCCGGCAGGTCGGAGCCCTATAACAGTCGAACCGTGAGCACATCCACTCCCCTGACCAGCGTGGGGGCACGCGCTTCCAGAAGACGGGATATCCACTCATCGATTATCATGGACAAACGTGGACATGCGGATAGCTTATCCTTGGCTAGGCCTCCGGTCGACCATCCAGGCCGGCCGGCCGGCCGGCCACTGGCTGCCAGCAGTCTTGCCTGTCCATGTGCCAGAGGGGTGGGCTCTAGCGCGGAGTCGGTCGCTCGGGCCAAGGCCACGGCCCCCTCGCCCCCGTTCAGTGAGCTGCTCGGCCGGGAATTTAGGTGGTAAATAAAGGTAACAGGGACGAAAAAAGCCCAAGCCGGGTATCGGGGATCCCTTCCTCCTGCCCATGTTCCATTGCTATGAAGGCCAAAAGCGCGACGCGCCGCGTGGAAGCCGTGATGTGACCTTTCGACCGGGGCAACCAAATCGCCGCATCAGTGCCGCCCCCTCCCTCTCTCCCCCCCCCCTCGCCCCCCAAGACACACACGTGCTTTGCCTCCGAGGGGTATAAATCATCACAAAGACCCCTTGGCACATGATGCACGCTGGGGATCTTCCCTGGGAGGCAACCAGACCGCCCCACATAAATGCCCAAAAGTGCACGCAGGAATCGAAAGAGGGGAAAAGGCAAAGGGGCGAGAGCGGAGACAAGGCCCGATGACGGTGGGAGAGGGGTGGGGGATGAGAGAGAAGGAAGTTTCTGTGTATTGACTTGGAAAGTTCAGGACACGCGGGGACCAAAGCACTTCGGCTCCCGGTCGATGGGCGCGCAGAGAGCAACCCATGTGAGAGTAAAAAAAAAAGAACCAGGCCAGCACCCCTCCCCTCCCCCCTAAGAGGGCATGAGCTGGGGGATCGTCCCCATCGGGAGCCGTCCGGGCACGAAGCGCACGTCAGGGAGCTCAGTGTCACCGCCACGACCAGACACGTCTACAGACACTCCAGAGGCACGGTGAAGTCCTCGGTGACGGGGCCAGTCTCCGGGGCGGTGGCATTCTGGCCGAGACCGCGGCGAGCGAAGCCCCGCCAGTAGGCACAGGTGTTGGCACCGTTGTAGTTCACCTGGTCCGCCAGGAGGATGGCATCACGAGCCTCGGTGAAGGTCGGGTTGCAGGGCTGGATCTTGAGGCCATCCACCAGATTCTGCATGAAGCGGTTGTTGGCGCCATCGCCCTTGTACAGATCCGCGTCCCAGGGGAACTCGTCGAGCATGTTGCGATAGGCGTCCATGAGCATGGTGCACCAGACCTCGCCCTTGGCATGGTGACGAGAGTACTGCGATTTGTTGAGGTATCCGAAGGTCTGGGGATTGAGTTCCATATCGTCGGTGTACGGGTAATTGCGAATGTTCCGGCTGGCCGCATACTCTGCCATGCCGAAGGAATCGTCCCGGCCATACTCCCGGCGCCAGCGGAGGATCAGGGAAAGGCAGTCGCCGATGCCCTCGCCCTGGCCGGAGGCCTGGGCCGAGGACATGCAGTTGGAGTTGGCCGGACCGCCGCACAGGCGATTGGAAATCCCATGGGAATACTCGTGGACAATGAGGCCATTGTCATAATCCCCATCGATCATGGGGGTCTCCTGGTTCCAGATGTACATGCGCATCTTCGGGCGCTGGCCATCCGGCGGGGTGGCGAAGTTGGCGTTGTTGTAGGTGGTGCCATCCTGGGCATTGGCCTGGACGGCGTCATTGCCGAGGCCGCCCTTGCGGAAGTTGTTCTCCTGGAAGTTGCCGGACACCTCGTCGAAGCCATACTCATAGAAGATGTCATGCATGATGTTGTTCCAGTAGAAGAGGTTGGTCACCGCGGCGTCCAGGCTCTCCACCGGCTCCTTGGTGAAGTCGATCGGGAAGTCGAAGACCAAGTCCGACCCGCCGCTCGGGCGGTAGTTGTTCTTCCAGCCAATCTGCCGGCCGGTGAGGCTCTCCTGGGCGTAGACATTGTTGCCGCGCGTGTCGGTGAAGGTGTTGTCCGCGTCCATGGTGTGCCAGCCGAGGGGCGACCCGGTGGACAGCTTGTGCGGGTTCCTCACCAGCTCGCGGTCGCCATCATGCGGGTCATTGACACCGGGCGGGTAGACCCGGTAGTTGCCGGACCGGCTGACCCAGTTCACCGCGAAGACCACCTCGCCGGTGGTGGCCGACACACCGACATCCAGCCAATCGTCATCCTGCTCGATGTTCATGTGGTACACCAGCTCCAGGCCGCGGGTTTCCGTCTGGACGAAGGCCACGCGCACCTCGATGTGGTTCAGCGACAGGTTGTCCCCTTCGAAGAGGGCCACCGGCCGGGCGGGCTCCTCCTCGGCGTCGAAGTCGGCCGAGGCGTAGGCAACCGGCACAAGGCTCCCCTGCTCCAAGCCGATGCCCAGATAGCTGGCCAGGCGCAGGACCGCCTGAGCCGGGGACAGGCGCTGGCCGTCAATGCCACGGGCCAGGGCCGCCTCGGCGCGCTCCAGCAGCTCCGACCGGCGGACGAAGGTGGAGCCGATGTTCAGGACATTGCCATTGGCGTCGATGTTGATGTTGACATCGCCATTGAGGATGGGCACGCCGTTGATGGTCTGGCGCAGGTACACATGGCGGACGCCATTCTTGGAGGTGTAGTCGTTGGCCACGCGGTACTGGACGTGGCGGCCGAAGCGGCGGGTCACAAAGTCCTGGACGCCGGTCTTGGCGTCGAGGCTGCGCGCAGGGGCGGGGGGGGGGTCACACGAGAGCAGGGCAGGAGGCGGATCGAATGGCGGTGAGCGGGGGAGGGAGCGGGGAATGCCATGCTCAGGAGGCGGACAGAGGGAGGCAGGTCAAGAAAAGGGGCAGCGGAACATACGGGATGGTGGCGAAGAGGTTGTCCAGACG